GAGGCAGCTGGGACTATTTTTAACTCTCCCCGGGTAAAAGTCTAGCTGAGCGTTATCACCAGAGCAATCACCCCAGGCAGGGAAACAGGTAGGTGCAACTCAGCCTTGCAATTATTTCAGGAGAAAGATAAAGGTAGATTATCACATGGTGGCCAGCCTTCCCTATCCTCCCATCTCCCTCTTATCACCGGCTTCCATCGACTCGAGGGGGAAAGAAAAAAAAACACACACACACCGGAGAGGAAGGAGAAAAGCCAAGCTGAGCCCGGCACCGAAAAACTTCCAGCACTTTGCAGGATTTCTCTGCCTCTCTGGTACATCCTCGCTGGAGCAAAACAGGAGCCCGGCCGATGGGTTGGATGGTGGGCAGCGCGACCCTCCGGAATCACAGTTCCAGAGGGAGAAACGGGGATGTGGCCAGAGCCCTGTGGGATCCTGAGCTCGTTCCTCATTCCCACATGGGCTGCGATGCAAAGCGGGACTTGGGGGCCCACTGGGCAGGGCGGAGGGTCGGGGACATCGTGGCCAGCGGGGACGATGGCACATGGGGACGATGGCACAACACCACGGGGACGATGGCACAGCGGGTCCAGCAGMGCCCAGGCAAACGGGGTCCCCGTGAAGGAAGGGGAGCCCCTGGCAGGATCAGGGTGATGAACTCGGGGTGAGGAGCCCCCGGGAGGGGTCGGAGAGCCTCTGGCAGCGTGAGGAGCCCATCACCGGTGTGAGGAGCCCTTGGTAGGGCTGGGGGCCCGGAGGCGATGGGGAGCCCCRGGGGGTTTGGGGAGCCCCCGGCCTCGGCTGCCGGCGCTGGATGGGAGGCAGGCAAAGGAGATAAGATCACAATTTCAGGCCGTCCCGACAGAGCGATGTTATCAGGACGGGACTTGCAGAACGGAATATTTTAAAGCCTTATCGGGGCCCCCATCGGGAGCCGGTACCGGAGCCACCGCGCTGGCGGGGGGGAGGCGGCGCGGGAGGGGGGAAGCGGCGGGCACCGAGACCAACGCGGGAGAGCGGCCGGTAGCGGGAACGGGCACCCAGGGCGGTGTGTCCCGGGTGTGTCCCGGGTGGGTCCCGGGTGGGAGCACGGGAGTACCGGGAGGACCGAGGGAGGGGGTGCTGGAGCGCTGCCGCCGAAGCGGTGGTGCGAATAAATAAGGGGGGGGGCGCGCCTGCAGCGAGCACAGAACGGGGGGAAGAGGTGCCGGGAGCGGCCACTCACGTTTGATCTGCCGGGGGTTGCTCTGTTTCCTCCTGGACATCGCTCGGCGAGGGGCGAGCCCGGCGCCCCGGCTGGCGGCTGGGCGGGCGGCAGGTGGGTGGCGGC